TTTTTAAAAACTTAACAGCTTCAACCAGGCAAGGTGGCTTATGCCTGTAATCCCTGTGCTTTGTGGCACAGAGGTTGACGGATCACAAAGTCAAGTTTCAAGTCTTTAGAAAGACTACAAAACTGTCTGCCTCAGCTTAAAACATTTATCCTTCAGAGGAATAGTAAATGTCAAAGGAAATAATTAGATATGGTTGATAACTAGAGTTTAAAACATCCAGAACATTCTTCTTGAAGAATTCTGTGACTGGAGTGGAACAATAGTTAAAAACATATTTTGCACCAAAATCAAAATGGAACCAGGTAAGTTTCTTAAGTACATGGCTTAATGAAAATAAATGTTCCTAGTTTAAATAGTGGAAAATTAGTGTTTAGATTTGGAAGATACTCACATTAATATTGTCTTGAAATATTTGACATTGGTTGTTGTAACCAACACATTAGTAAGATATTCTTACCAATAGGAATAATCTGGGAGTGTTGAAAATTTATCAGAATTTTTTTTTTTTTTTTTTTGGAGATAGTGTCTAGCTTTATCACCTAAGCTGTGGTGCAGTTACTCGAGCTTGGCTCACTACAACCTCCACCTTCTGGGCTCAAGCTATTCTGCTTTCTCAGCATTCCAAGTAACTAGAAATACAGGAGTGTGACACCACAGCTGGGTAAAGTGTTGTATTTTTAGTGCAGACAGCATTTCATGTTGGGCAGGCTTTTCTTAAAATCTTGATCCCTCCTCTTCTGCCTCCCAAAGTGTTAGGATTACAAGCATGAGCCACCATGCTCGGCCTATCAGATATCATTGAAGATATGAATAGGAATATTTTAAACCTTATGCTTTTGGGGAAGTTAAGTGTATAAAACAACAGAATGAAGATTCAGATAGGGGATGGCTTAAAGGTTTAAGAAATGATCTAATGATAAAAGTGTAAGAAATAGGACCCAAATAAGAAAACCAAATAACTTTGCTGAACCTACAACTTACAGAAATAGAATATACGCACTTCCAGAAGTTTTACAGTGATAATTCTTGTAATTAACAGCATAATCTGCAAAGAGGAAGCATTTTCATGAGAAAATTTTGGCCAGATCATCAATTTTTATAGGGAAAGTCTGCAAACAATTTTAAAGGAGAAGATACCAACTTTGATTTTCAAGTGAGTTATTTACATTATGAAGTTATGTTTTCCTTCACATATAATGTAGGACTGTGAGGATTAAATGTAAAGATAAAACTCCCTAGTCTTGTCTATCTTCACAGTGGCAGCATAAGAATTAGTGTCGGTCAAGTTGTGATGGTTCAGGTCTTTAATCCCAGCATTTTGGGAGGCTGAGGCAGGCATATCGCTTTAGCTCAGGAGTTTGACTCATGCCTGGGCAACATGGAGAAATCTTGTCGCTATAAAACAGACAAAAATTTGATGCAGGTGGTAGTGCATTAATTTAGTCCCACTGCTTGGTGGACTGAGGCAGAAGGATTGCTTGTGGCCATGAGGACCAGGTTGCAGTGAGCGTCTTTGCTCCACTGCACACTGCATTTTCACCTGGGTGACAAACTGAGACCCTGCCAAAAGAAAAGAAAGCAAAACAAAAAAGACAAAGTGTCTGTGATACTCCAACCATGGGAATTTTGCACACAAATTATCTTCATGAGGCATTCTGTCATAATGATTTAAAGGAATGGGAGACAGAAGTATAACCTGTAAAGGACAATTCATCAATCTTTGAATAGGGACTTCAAGTTAGAGTAAATCGTGAAAAGCCCCTCTATAACAAGCCTTTCTATAAAGCCTTATTCCTTAATTTTCATAGGAAAGTCATGCTTTCTAATGAATAATAGAATACGTTTTATCGTCTTCGGCCACCAGGATTGCTATGAGAAAATAGCTAGACTTGGTGGTTTATAACCAACATTTCTTGTAATACCAGACCCTGAGAAGCCAAAGATGAAGGAATCAATAAAGATAGTGTTCTGGCAAGGGCCCACTTTGTGGATTTTAAACTGACATCTTATTGAGTCCACACATGGTAGAAAAGGTTGGGAACTCTTGGGTTTCTTATAGGAGGGTACTAATAACATTTATGAGATTTATGAGGGTGCTGTCTTCCTGACCTGATCAGTTCTAATCAAAGGCCCTGTTCCCCATCCAGAGGCCAGCCAATTGACATTTCTATATGCTGAACTTAAAGTGTATTTTAGATGGTGGAGTGAGGATGGCAGTGATGATTGAATTTCCTGGTTTGCAGTTTTTAGTGACTCTAGTGTTGCCATCAATTGTTAAAGGCATTAAGATGACTGTTTAAAATGTTAGTACTGAGTCATCCAGCTTCAGATTACAAGGTTTGGGGACAACTGGGCAGTTTTAGTTTTCAGTGGTGCTAAATCACTATAGGGGGACACAATGTTGAAATTTTAGTTTGGAGAGTTGTAGTTTTATATTGAATAAAATGAGAATTGAAAATTTAGACTAATAAAAACTTGTAAGATATCTCATGTGGGTGCTCTATAGTTTTCCATTGAAACACAATTCTGCAGTTACTTCTCTTGACTCTTGTTTACAAAAGAAGTCTGGTCTTACTAGTTTTGTCATTATTTACCTAAATGCAGTAACAGTGGTCATTGACCACAAAGACCTTTATTTATTTATTTATTTATTTATTTCTTCATTTATTCATTATTTACTTTTTAAAATTAGACACAGCATCTGGCTCACTGCAGCCTCAATGTCCTGGACTCAAGTGACCCTCCCACTTCAGCGTCCAGAGTAACTGAGACCAACATGCCAGACTAATTTTGTATTTTCATTTGTTTGTTTTTGGGTATTTGTGATCTCCTGGGCTCAAATATTCCTCCCACCTTGGCCTGTGAGAGTGCTGGGATTACAGGTATGAGCCACCATGCCTGGCCACAGAGGCCTTTCCAGTTTCCTTTGTGAAAACTTTCTATAATTAGTCTCAGATTATATTTTGTAAAACTTTGAGACTAGATGCCAAGCCAGGAAATTGCCACCAGCCTTTTCTGTGAGAACCTGTATATTGGGTTGAATTCCTCTCCTCTCAAAGTCACCAAATATTGTGAGGTTCCAGAACTTGCCCATTCTTTCCCATCGTTTAGTTTAAGAACTCCATAAACAATTATGAGGCTGTTTTTACCAACAGGCCTTTGTAAGTTCCCACTGTAAACTTTAGATTTTAATGCTACCTGGTTATATTTGATTCTATGGAAATCATTCTCAAATGTATTTGATATTTTAGAAAAGGTTTGGTAATAAAACCAGTTTACAATAACGTTCTGTTAAAAAAAGGACACTTTTTTACTGAATAGCAGAAATGCCTCTGTTTTCATAAAAATGTTTATAAAATATTAAATGTTGAGTAAATGTAACACAGCTCAATTAGTGAATTAGCAAATCCAGGAAGAATGCAAATGTATTCTCTTTTTTCATGTTTTTTTTTTTTTTTTTTTTTCTTTTCACTGAGAGTCTCCCTCTTTCGCCCAGCCTGGAGTGCAGTGGTGAGATCTCAGCTCACTGCAACCTGTGCCTTCTGGGATCAAGCAATATCTTTCCTCAGCCTCCTGTGTAGCTGGGGTTACAGGTGTGCACCACCATTCGTGGCTGAATTTGTATTTCTAGTAGAGTTTGGGTTTTGCCATATTGGCCAGACTGGTCTGGTCTCAAACTTCTGAATTCAGATGATCAACCTGCCTTGGCCTCCCAAAGTGCAGGGACTATAGACGTGAGCCACTATACCTGGGCAACAAATATATTCATACACTTACACCATAACAACTCGTGATAATTTAAAATAATTTAATAATTTAATTTTTAATTTTAAATAAATAATTTTAAACTAATCTCATTTGCTAAATATTTGCATGAGACATGTGAACTTGGTCATCTATTTCTGGGATTTTAGGAGTATATAATTCACAATAGTGTTCATTTGTCTCTAAACCAATTAGAATACCACCTTTTTAAGTGATATTCAAAATTAACATGGTAATAACATATATGGTAGAAATATAACACACACAAAATGCATATGCAAAAGATATAGATAATGGCAAACAAATTTTATAATTCTCCTAAAATTTAGTCATGAATAAAGCAATAGAGTAATGTAAACCTCACTGGTTTTTATCCATTATATATTTTATCTAAATTGTGCTTCCAAAAAATGAGACAAGTTTATCTACTCAACAGGAGGTCTAATACCTTTTCTCTGTATTGGTAAAGAAGAATTTGCTGAGATTATTTAGCCCTAACATTTAATCTAGGGAGTCAGAGGACTACATTTTACCCATAGGATACATTCAATGACAGTCTGGATGTCTTCAAAACCTGGGTAGTTAAAATTCTCAATCTCTTCTAATGAGTCATTTTTCTTTTCCACTTCCATCAGATAATTTTTTGGAAGGTGGGCAAGATCCTTGAATCTCTCAAGAGCCTCTGATTTTGAGACTCTAAATTTCTCATGACGATAGTGGGTTGAGTGGCTGAAATAGAAAGAAAAAGACTTGTTTAGTGGTAGACGGATGGAAGATGAGAGACTTGAAGTGGAATATGTTAAAGAATTCAAGGGAGCTCAATGGAAGATAGATGATAGTAAAAGGACAAGCAAGGATCACGAATAATAGGAAGGAATACATGAAAGATGCACCAGTGTAGGGAGATGTTAAGTTTCTCAAAGATCATTGAAGTTCCAGATTACCCTAAAACAGCATTGCAACAACAAGGATGCCTATTTAGCAAAGCCTGAATCGACCAGCGTTCAAGAAGATGGGTTTCAGTTGACTGAGAGAATCATGTGCAGAAGCAATAATCCAAATAAAGAGCAAAGAGGTGTCAAACAGCTTCAAATGAGATAAGGATAGAGTTAAAGAGATATAAAGATAGAGATAGAGACAGAAATAGAGATGCAGACAGAGACAAAGACGGACAGAGAGATAGAGATAGGCATAGATAGACATAGATATAGATGTAGACCTTGACATAGACATAGACATAGTGACAGAGACAGAGAAGGTTCCAGGCAAATGGGAAACATCCCATTAAGGAAAATTGGTCTCAAACATAGGGAGTCTTTAAATAATGTCCACTCCGGAAATATGCTAGAAAGAAGGGAACCAAACACATGATGTTGCCCTGCTACTTGGATTGCTGGATCATATGATGGGTGGTTCTGCTTGTAGATTTCTTAGGAGTCTCCATACTTAAATGGACATAAACCCCTGTGTAAGGCCTGCACTAATTTACATTCTCACCCAAAAGAATGCACATATATCCTTTACTCTGCAACCTCACCAGAAATATGTTCCTTTTGTCTTTTGGATAATAGCTATTCTGACTGAAATGAGATGACATTTTGTCGTGGATTTGATTTGCTTTTGCCTTACGTATTAGGGATGATGAGCACTTTGTAGTATGCCTGCTGGGCAACTGTGTGTTTTACGTAAACAAAGGAATATTCATGTCATTAGCCCATCCAGTTTCATGCTCTTTAGTCATTTGAGTCCCTATGTACTGTAAGTATTCACTCATTGTAAGATGTATGGTGATCCAATAATTTCTCCCATCCTGTAGGATGTCTCCTCCCTCTGTTTAGTTTCCTGTGTTCTGAAGCACCTTAGTTTGATATAACCCCATTCTCTGTTTTTGATGTTCTTTACTGTTCTTTTGCAGTCACTTTGAGATCATCATTACCAACACCACTGTCATGGAGCTTCTTCCTTCTGATTTCCTCTGGTGTTTCTATCGTTGCATGTATGACATTAAGGACTGGTGAGAAATTGTCTACTCTTTTATTTTTTATTTTTGTGGTAGAATTTTGCTCTTGTTGCCCTAGTTGGAGTTCAGTGGTGTGATCTTGGTGCACTGCAATCTCTGCTTCCATTGTTGAAGAAATTCTTCTGCCTCAGCCTCCCAAGTAGCTGGGATTACAGGTGCCCACCAACACTCCTGGCTACTTTAGGGTATTTTTAGTAGAGACAGGGTTTTGCCATCTTGGACAGCCTGGTCTCAAACTCCTGACCTCATGTTTGAGACTAGCCTCCCTCGGCCTACCAAAGTGCTGGAATTACAGGCATGAGCCACCACGCCTGGCCAAAATAATCTAATTTTAAAATCCTTTACGTAGACATTCAGGTTTTTCTTCGCCTAGTTTATAGAAAAGACTTGATTTTGCATTGTGCGTTCTTGCTTCTTTGGGAAAAGTTCATGAGAGGCAAAAGCAGTGATGTAGTTCTGTGCTCCTATTGTTTTTCTATAGCTCATCTACCTTCTTTTCCTTTCTTCTGTGCTATTTTAGGTAAAACTTTGCAGTATATTGTAAAGTTAGGCAGTGTGCTGCCTCCAGCCCTATGCTGTTTACTGGGTTGCTCTGGCTCTTCAGGATCTTCATCGATTTCATAGCAAATTTAGGATTTTCCGACTGTTTTTGCATGAGGAATGGATCACTGATATTTACACAAGCATTGCATAAAATCTGTAGATCACTTAGGTAGTATTGATAAACCCTGTATCCTGGAGGGAGAGGACTCCCAAGGTCTTATGCTAAGCATACCCTTCCACATACCACCTCCTTTACCATGCCAGGAGGCATTCCTTTAGGAGGACGCCAATGCAATGCTCCTTAGTGATCACTTCCTTGCAGAAGTAAGTGTTGTGACAAAAGGAAAACTTCATTCTGCTGCCAGGACCCAGGATGGCCGAGTTCCTCCACCTGCCTGGCTAAGAAGGAGAAAGAGGAGAGACTCAAAGTGACCATTTCATGTAGATGGGTGAGGTGGCTTGCTAGCTGGGGTGAAGCAAGCTTTTCTTCTTCTCAGCTCTCCTGCTGAGACACCCGGAGGTACCAGGGGGACATCAGCCTGACTCAGAAACCCGACCTCTTCTCTAGACCGAGTCTCCACAGCCTGACATGCAGTTCCATCATGTAGCTAAACAGGACTTCATGTTGTGTGATCCGGGCTGACTTCTGGGTATGCACATTGGGTTTCTGGCATGAGCCTGCTGGAAACAGGCATGGGGAGTGGGGATAGTTTCATGGCTGGCATGGCCATGCAGACTCCCCTTCCTCCAGGGACTTTCCAAGAGAAAAGTGCCCTTCAACAGTCTGCTGTGTGTGAAGGGTCCTTGGTGCCGTTATTCTCCATTGTTAGTGATGATCTGGGCTACCCCTTCCCTACCACGTGCTCTCACAGCACCCGCAAACAAGCTGCCCTCCTATCTACAAGAGGAGGTTTCTTGGTTTCTCCTCTGTCCTCCATCCCCTGTCTTCTGTCTGACCCCCTGCAGCTCTGGCCTGGCCCCACCCCATCTTGCCTTGAGAAGCATAACACCCAGCCCCAGCTGCCAGCCATCCCGAATGGGCAGCTGCAAAGTTTAGGATCTGGCCCAGAAACTGGGGATGCCCTGGGGCCTGGGGTGTTCAGATAGCCAAGCTCCAAGAGTTGGATGTCCAGAGAGTCCGTTGCTGGCTGGGGCCAAGGCCAGGCTGTGCCCTCTGGTGCTTCTGCCACTTCTCATCGACCTCCTCCCTGGCCACGACCTTGACCATCGCCATTATGTTGTCCACCACCAGCACTGCATCATCCCCCAAGGCTGCCTCTTTGCTCTGCACCCCAGATGCCCTCCCCTGCCTCTAGGCTGAACAGGGGCACCCTCCTCCAGAGCTCCCACATACCATGGCCTACTCCTCCCACCCCACACCACCGCAACCCCTGGCCTCTGGGGGCTGCTCCCCTGGAGGTCGGTGGGCGTCCCCTGCTGACAATCCTTTGCCACACCTACGTTGACCCAGGGTTCCTGGGAAGCCCTGCCAGGCCCACAGCCCGCTGCACTGACTGTGGGACCCTGGGCCACAGCACGGTCTGCTGCGTACAGAAGTCTAGGAGCCATAGGCCAAAGCCCTGGTCTTGCAGAGCCCTGCCAGCAAGCATCGCGGGTGCCTCTGTGCTTACAGGAGCCTCGGGCTTGGCAAGGCAGTGCACAACAGCATCCACACATGCCATCCATGGGCATCCCTAGCTGCTGGCCTCTGGTGTTCACAGGGCACTGGGTGAGAGGTCCTTCAGAATGCTCCTGGGAGTTCAGCATGGTATCATGCTCAGGGAGGAACTATGGTACTGGGAGACTCTATTTGCCTAGACCTGCCAGAGTCCCTGCAGGATTCCTGGCCTCAAGAGCAGGGGAATTCCACTGTACAAGGCGACTTTCCTCCCACACTCCTGCCCAGGCCCAGTGCCCCAAGATGCCCAAGCAACCAGCGCTGATCCCTCTCTCTCTCCACAAGATCGGCAATATGCAGTACCATCTTTCTGGCCTGCCAAAGGAAGAGAGATGTTTCATGCGTTCACTGTGGATCAACGGCTTGCAACTGTCAGGATGCCGGTTAGGGCATGGGACATCCAAGCACCCAATTCCAAAGTGCACAATGCCGGCGCCACCTGGCACAAGCTCTGATGGCTTCTCGCAGGAGGTTTTCCCCAGGAGGGTGGAACTGCAGGCCACCAGGGTGCGGAAAGCCTCAGAAGATGCCCACCGCCCTCGCACTGATCAGCCTCAGAGAGAGGCTGGGTTTTTCCAGCACTTTCGGCATCCTTTAGGTATAGTACGGATGTGACATCTCACCCCGCAGTTGGCCACCTGTGGTTCCAAAACCAGATGCATGCACCGTGAGGGCCCAGTGACCCAGAGGCTGTTTGTCCTACTCTAAAGCAACTTTGTTTTCTATTTCTGTGGTCAGGTTGATCTCTCAGCAAAAATACAAAGACAGCGAGGTTTTTGGATGTTGTCTATAAAACAGGCTGGGTTTTTAATGTGTCTGTATTGAATTACGGGAAGAGACAGTAGGGAAAGAAATCGCTAGTGTTATTTAGAAACTCATTTTTGTAAACTCATTGTCTGTTTCATGAGGATTCTTGCTTCTACTGTCAGCCATGTCTGACAGGTGGGCAAGTTGTGGGACAGCGAGCTAGGGCGCCTCATGTGCACTTTTTATTAAAGCAGTTTTCCTTTGTGCATGTGGCCATAATTTAAATAGACAGGCAATCTACTTAACCACTGTGATTAAAAACTTGTCCTTTCAGTTAGCACATGTCAGATTTCTAGTTTGCTTGACAGAAATTATGGATATTTGACATAAAATGCGTTACTTTAGTGTACGTAGAAGTCTGGGACCATGAATAATCACAGTTTAAATTTCCCTCTGTAAAGCCTTGAATTGTCTCCCTCCTTACATGACAGGATTTGAAACTTGTTTCCTGTATCTCTGGCATAGTAAATAATTTAATCCGAATAAGTGAGTGCAATCAAGATAAATGGCAATAGCCTAAAACAGAAGCAAAATAAATGTGCTTAAGTTATTTTATTTACCTGGGACACTGACTTACTCTTGTAATCCTGGCATTTGGGAAGGTGAAGGTGGGAGGATGGCTTGTGGTCAGGAGATGGAGACCAACCTGAGTAACATAATGAACTCGTTTAATCTGTTACCATTTTGGCACCAAGGACTCGTTTAGTGGAAGATGATTTTTCCCCAGACTAGGAGTGTGTAAAGGGAGAAGGCTGTGAGTTGGACACGTTGGGGAGCCTGGAGGGCGTCAGGGTTCCAGTGCGCACGGGTTGTGGCGGGGCTGCGGGTCACAGCAGTGTGACGGGGGTGGGGATTGGGCAGCGGATCTGTGAGGAGGACAGGGCGTGGCAGCGGGAGGATAAGTAGGACGGTTTGCAGATGAAACTGTTCCACCTCAGGTCGTCCTCAGATATTACATTTTCCCAAGGAGAGCGCCACCTAGATCTTTCGCATGCGCAGTTCACAGTAGGGTTCCTCCGCTGATCCCACGGGTGGCGCGGCTCAGGCAGTGCGAGTGGTTCACCATCCAGGTTGCCAACGGGCCAGAGATTGGTACCCGCTGGAGGCTAGTGTTTGGGGATCTCTGATCTCTCGTATATTTGAAATCACTAAAAGTTAGTAAAATATTTAAAATATTATCCCCAAGAAAGCATGTACTTGAATTAGGTTAATTTAGTCATATATCAAAATATCAGGCTTGGCGTGGTGTTTCACCCTTGAAATCTCATCGATTTTATAGCCCCATGCCAGCAGTTCACCTGAGCCCAGGAGTTTGAGACCAGCTTCGGCAACATGGGGAAACCTGTGTGTATTCACGCACACACACACACACACACACACACACACACGGACACACACGCACATACACATACACATACACACACACACACTCAGCTAAGGTTGCGAGCGCCTCTACTCGCAGTTACTTGGGAAGCTGAGACTTGGCACGATCACTTGAGGCTGTGTGGAGGACGCTTCAGTGAGCAGTGCACTTTGGCTAAAGGAAATTGAAGGTTCTCGAGGTGGGGGCGAGGGGCGGGGGGCGGGGGGGAAGACAAGAAAACAAACAAAATCACATTGTACCTCCCAAATGCATAATTTTCAAATTAAAGTGTTTAAATAGGCTTCCTGTGTATTGCAACTTTAGAAAATCACAAGGCTTTTCTTATCTGATTTTCACAAGCAAGTTTTTGTGAGGTACATAGTAAAATGCAGCGTTTGTCCATGAAGTCAGTGCTTCTTTTGCTCTGTATGTTACACATTTTTCATAGTTCAAGTAAGAAATACTAAAAAGATGTCAGCCTCTGTAAGGGTACTTCACTTGAGTTTTCAACACCGTATGTAATAAAATTTTATCTTTTGGGCTTCCTTATCGTTATCTAAATATAGATAATTTTTTACCATTTACAGCAAAATGATGGAAGTGAATCAGCCTGGCAAGCTGTTCATTTGTGGTCTAAGTAGAGAAGCCAAGGAAAGGATGCTTAAGGCAGTATTTGGGAAACATGGTCCCTTATCAGAAGGTAACTCTTAACACCAACATCTATTTTTGGGTATTCTGTATACATATATTTTTACAAGTACAAGTAAACATATACTCAATATATTTGCTTGAATATATGCGTCCAAAGTGATTTTTTGTTGTTGTTTTTAAACTGCTGTTTTAAGTTTCAATTTGATATTTGAAAAAATCTCATGGCCTGCAAGTGAAGGGTCTGTGGTAAGGGTCACCTACTACTGTGAAAGGAAAACAAGCAAAAGTACATTATTTGTGCAGGTAGCGAACAAAATGAAGTAAAATAGGCACACTATACGGGTGACTTAGTATTAAATCACAGTAATGATGTAAAGTGCATTTTTTTTTTTTTTTTTGGTTTGATGTAACTTTCAGATGGTTAGTACTATGGTTATTCCGTTACATAAATGTGAAATGTTTTCATATATTTTAGTTCTTTTGAAGAAAATCGAACCGACAAGTGCAGAGGCTTCACATTTATTCCTTGTGAGAACGCTGCAGATGCTAAGAATGCTGCCAAAGATAGGAATGGAAAGGTAAGGGTCCCTAGTGAATAATATCCTAACTCCGTTTTTCAGTTAACAGTATTAGTAGGTCTTTTTAGTAGGATTAAACTTTTGAAGATAGCAGAATGCCACATGAACTGAAATGCTTTAGCCATCCTCTTCCTTTTGCCATATAAATGCAAGTGTAGTTGAAACGATATAGGAATGCACATTACATAAATTAGTATATGGTAATCCAGTTTCCATGTTTGTATTTCAATAGGAGTGTCAGCAGGTTTTCAAAGCTTACAAAGAGCGGTACAACTTAGAAGAAATCCTCAGGAAAATGAGAGAAAGCAGTCAGTATCTATTAAATGCTAGTAATGGAATTATTTCCAATTATAGAAATAATTGTGTAGCATATACACACTGTGGATAGACACCGAGTCTGACTTACCAGAAAGAAATCTTCTGTAGAAGACACCTAGACAGACTCACGTGATGGAAACATTCTTCCCCACTCTCTGAAAGTACATTCTAGAGAAAGTATATTTAAAGAAGGCGTTTTCATTTAAGGAAGTGTTAAGAAGTTGAAAATAGAAAATAATCTGAGGACATTGAATTTGGATAACAGAACAACTAACTGGCATTTTTACCCCATCGTTGCCCTTTTCTCCTAAGAATGTCTTTAGTCATCAGAGTGGTTTATGTAACATGCATACGTAATTACTAGTTTTCCCAGTGTATTGGATAACTTGTTTTGATGCAATCAATGGTCTCTTGTCCTATTGAGTCTTAACAGTCAAGGGATTGTTTGTTTATTGCAGCTTTAAACTCTTCTGTAATACTATTAACTACAGAATTCCTTTACGTTGCAGTCAAGATCATTCCATTCTGGACCCTTGGGAGCTTTTTGTTTTATAACATTATCACAATCTGATTGTAGTTTCTGTTACCCCTCATGCTATCTTGAATATGCTTTCTTGAACTGCGTGAGCATTACTGTTCTCTGTAAATGTCTCAGAAATAACAATTTACGCTTCAAAAACAACTTAGAATTTATAGTTTCTTCTTCATCCTATATAGTAGGTATTTTGTACTCCCTGTACCATGTATATCATATCTCTTGATTGTTAAATTGCCTTTAGTGTATATTTAAATTTTCCTAGTTGCTTATATTTCTGTCACATGTAGCACACTTCCCAGTACATAGCAGACAGAACATGTTTATTTATTCTTCCACTTTTGTATCTGAAGGTGTGGTAGAACCTGAGAGTTTCTTTTGGTTCATTGCATGGTGTCAGGACTGGAGGTGTTTCTGACTTATGTATAATAATCTGTGATAATATTTTTCCACTAGTTTTCAAGCAGAAAACAGGCAATTTTTGTAGATGTGATTTCAAATTACTTCATGTCACAAGGTTTATTGTGTGTGTGTATATATATACTATAGGTAGTATATATATTTATATTATATTATACATACATGTGTGTGTGTGCGCGCGCGTGTGTGTTATATGCACCTAAGTATTAAGAACGGACACAAAGGAGGTACTTTCAGGGGCAAAGAACAGTTTAAGAAATTTTGACTAACCTCAGAATACTAGGAAGCAAGCACCCATATGCAAATCTGGGGAAAATCTTTTAGGACTAGAAATAACAAAAGAAGTCTCAAAGTAAGAAAAGTTGGCTATGTGACTGAAAGAGATCTTGGAAGGGATTTAAGATCTTCCACCAAGGACCAAAGCCATGTAATTTTTAAATAGAGTTCTTAGCTGAACTGTTTTCAAACATTACTTTAGACTATAGAAAAGATTAAACTGGAGAAAGTTATTGTGAATTTAATTAGGACATTTAAGCATTTCTGAGAAATGACATGTAGTACTCTACTAAGAGTTGTTTTTTAGGGACACATAAGAAACGAGTAAGGCTGAAAACATGAACGACACCAACCAAGGATCACATTTAAGGAAACAGAAGTAGAGTAAGTGTAGAATTTTAAATCATACAGAGACATTGTACATAACTATAAGCCAAATAAACAAGAAACAATACAAAATCAATAATGTGACTAATCACTTTGACTAAATAACCTCACCTCACTTTTTCTTTTCTTTCTTTTTTCTTTTTCTTTTCTTTTTTTTTTTTTTCAGATGGGGTTTCCCTCTGTCACCTGGGCTGGAATACAGTGGCGTGATCTTGGCTCACTGAAAGCTCCACCACCCAGGTTCACGCCATTTTCCTGCCTCAGCTTCCTCTAGTAGACTACATCACACCCAGTTTTTTTTTTTTTTTTTTTTTTTTTTTCTATAGTAGAAATTCAGGTTTCACGGTGTTAACCAGGATGGTCTCCATCTCCTGACCTCATGATCTGCCCACCTCAGCCTTCCAAAGTGCTGGGATTACAGGCATGAGACACCACGTCTGGACAATAACCTTACTTTTCTAATGAGACATTCTTTCATATACACCTGAGACACTGACGTTTTTTAGTTAATGATGTGGATGCAAAGATGAAGTATATTATGCGTTGTAAAAAAAGATGTGCTACCTTGTCTTATAGAATTTATGACAGGTTAATTTTTCTTGAGGTGTTATTTTTTAACACTGGAGGCCTTTCAAGAAATTTGAATAATGGAATATGTGTGAATCCCTTCATGGAAGGGCATGTACTCCGTAAATATCTCAAGTTTCACCTTGTGAATGGTGTGGTCATTTCAGGAAAAAAAAAAAAAGAAAAAAGTTTGTTTCAAAGAAAACATCTAGACCTGAAATACGGTTGTTGAAGAATGTTTGTAAAATGTGTTTAGGTTAAATGTAACAATTGTATTGATAGTATACTTAATACTTTTAGTTTTTGCATGGAAAAGCGATAAAAGTAGAACAAGCCAACAAACCGTCTTTTCACAGTGGTGGTACGTGGAGAACACCATCTCCTTCAGGACACATAAGCCCTTTAGGAAGTCTGAGATTGAAAAGAGGATGTAGCGGAGGAACAAGAGGATGGCATCCCTCAGGTGGAGGACACTAGGGTAATATTTTAACACATAAAGATGAAACCAGAGTAAATGAAAGACAGCGTTTGGAGATGTAGAAATTTCTCAATTATATTTACTTCCTATGAAAAGTAAATTAAATTCTTGTTAATGAACAAAATGGTTTGTAAATCCTAAAGAAGTATTACAAGAATGATTGAACTTATATCTAAAAATTGTTTTCAAATCTTATGCATAGAAATAATGCAAATCTCAAACTGAATTGAGTTTATGATTGCTGATTGTCTATACTCAACAGGATTTCTGTAGAACTCATTCCCATTCCTATTACTTTAGAGTTTCTTACTTTGGGACCCCAAAGTTCATAAAAGTTGCATTGTCAAAATACGACGAAATCATGGAAACCCTCCAACAGGACATTAGTAACTCAGTGTTTTAGAAATGATTTCACAATATTTGTTTTTCTCTGAATACACGTGCACACACGTAGGCAGATCTATTCCTTTTTCATTTTGATATGGAGAAGATGCACATTGGCCTGCCATACAGAATCTTTCATTTAAGGAATGTAGAACTTTAATTTCTCCAAAGAGTCTATGACTCAGGAGAAGTCTAAAAACCACTGCTTCACAAACAAGTATGTAACTTTCCTCGCTGGAAGATGAGTCACTGAAAATGGTATTTCTGAGAGATTTACTCGATAGGAATGAGGGGCCAATTTTTACTTAAAAAAACAAAAAGCAAACTATGCATTAAAAATATACCTATTGGTTAGATTGTATTATCTATCAACCAACCTTCAAAAACCTAACATGTCATTTGGAGTTTGAACAACTAGATGTGTACTTCATTGAAGATGTTTTCTCAGGTTGAAATTGCAGTGTATGTTCCACTCTCTTATAAGAGACAGAGCTTTGTGTCCTTTTTAGTCTCAATTGATCTTGAGGTTGAAGTTTAATAATACTCTGCCATGCAGGAGAATGTCACTGTTGATGCCTGTGACACCACCAGGGAATTGGAATATAACTACATTTTTTGTAGACATATAAAAATTTTTCATTATTTAGAATGCAATTCTTAAAGATTATTAAAATGAGCATAGCCTAAGCTGAAAATTACTGTGTTTCATAAAGGAACTGTAGGAATGCTAAATTCTGTTAGCACATTTTACAGAGAATTAATTTTTCTGAGGTGTCACTTTTTGATTCTGTAACTATTTGATTTCCTTTGAGTGGAATTTGGTTTAACATTCTGATGTTTTGATGAAGCTTTTTTCATACCATAATGATATGAACAGCCATTTATCATTGATCTCCTAATATGTTTTTCTTGATTTAGATTATAATTACATATTTAACTGATAGCTTTCTGCTCTCCACTCTCCACTTATCCCATATCTCTTTCACACACCAATATATAATGATTCCTGATTATTTTTGTAGATTTTCTAAACGGACTTTTATTGCTTGAATTACACTAATCTCATATAGAAATGCTGAATTTTATTTAGAGAAATGTGCAATTTTAAGATTGCAATATGTAAGAAAGATTTATAACATCTAAAATTTAGCCATTTAAGAAACAGTGATACTTCTCAAGATTTTGTTTGAAACACAGATAAGGGCAGATACACTGCTGATCTCCACCTGAGTTCTTCTAGGGAACATTTGGAGTTAAAAGAGGTCCATCTTCAAGAATTGGAAGTCCTCCTCCTAAAAAAGCTGCCCCTTCGACTGTGGCAAGAAGCAATGGTGGGATGGGAGGCCAAGGTAAATGCTACCTGAGAGCCAGACCGTAGTTTTTGTGTGACTGAAAATGAACTATTTACCTGAAAGCTTAAGATTGAGAAACATATTAGAATTGACACATACATGGACCTATTTATTGATAGATAGCTTTTATTTTAGTTTGAATCTCACTAGGCGAATTTCAGATTTATGGTGAAGAAATACTTGACCTTCTAACTGCAGATCAAAGAAATGATTACAAAGAGGCAAACGCTCCATTTAATGCTTTGTTTGCTAGAGAATTCCTCTCACTTTTCCTTAAAGTTCCTGGCAGTATTCTTTGATGACAGGCTTCTTAATCTAATCAATTCTTCCATTTCCTAGGTCCCGTTTTATTGGACCCCCGGTGTTCCAACCTAAAAATTGCATGTTCAGTTTCTTTGTCAGTTTGGAGTCTCGCTCCCACCAGGCCAGGCACTGGTAAGATGATGGCTCACTGCAGCCTCAAATTCCTGAGCACATGCAGTTCTTCTGTTTCAGTCTCCTGAATTGCTGTGACTAGTGGCATGCACCACCACACCTATCCAATAGTTTTTTTCCATATTTTTCTAGAGACAGCATTTCACTACATTGTCAGAGCTGACATTAAAGCCCTGGGCTCAAGTAGTCCGTCTGCCTCAGTCTTCCACACTGGCTCCAGTGTGAGCCACTGTGCCTGGCCATAGTTTCTGTGACTTCAGTATATGCAAAGCATTCTTACTGGTTATGTGAGGATACTAAGAACTACAAGAGCATTTAGCAGAAAAGCAGTCACTGGGCTTAAATACTATTTAAAAAGGAAAGTATTTGTAAGCCTTCAAATGTGGACACGGAAGAGTCCAACATTTTTCAGTTAAGTGGGTATCACCGAAACGCAGAGTTATGAAACACGAGGGG